TTTTTTTGGAAAACGGCATTGATCTCTCCGAAAATAGGGGGTAACTGATAAGTCGTCAACAAATTCATCTTTCAACATGAATGTTAAGACATAACATGGATCTCGAGACAATCTTTTGAGCAAAAAATATTCAAACTTTAATAAAAAATCAAAATATAATGATAAATCTTCTCGCTCAATGAAGGAATTAGATATTTCTTATTATCTTCAGAACTTATTTGATCAAGTATGAATCTCGATGCATTTTTAATAACAAATCTTTCAAATAAAAATTCGTGATCATCCAATTATGTAGATTTCATCCAATTTATACTGAAATTGATCTTCTCAACAAGAAGAACCCAACAACTTTAAAAATGGCTCTACTCAATACCAATCAAGCCCATATAAAGTCGCTTGAGCACAATTGAATGCTTTGAATCGTCAATTGAATGAAAAAATAAACTCCAAATTTTATATATTTATAGTCATATCGAGCACCTCAATGAGAGAAATTCATTGAGTTTAATATCACTCAATTTCAATGTCGTTAAAGCACCTTGCAAATCATTAAAAAAATCACATGAAAGAGAGATCATCATGGACCGTCAGATTAGGTGGTTAGGAAAGTTATGCATCAAAAAACAAAAATGTCCCTCACAAAAATCTTAGAAATATATCACATCTCTTCACTTGAGAGTGGAGGAAGAGGATAAGAGAATGAGAAAGAGAAGTAGAATTTTAAAGCATGTTCTGAAGAAAAGAACTCAAGCTAACTATTTGTCTCGATAGTTGTCAATCATCGTCCACCTTCACCCATCGTCACCACTGTTATTTATATATAGTTTGATTCTGTTAATCAATTGAACATTACTCAGAACCTTCAATTTTGCTGATAAAGCTTGACTGCGAGTTTGTTGGGGGTACCAGGGATGACACCCTATATTTGGTTCAAGTTTTTTTTACTATTTAAAGGTGGCCCCATCGTGCACGATAATCATTCAAACCTTGGAGCACGAGACTATATATAAACTCTTTTGCAATTAAGGGTGATTTTAGGACAGTTTGCGCATTTCAGAATAAGTTGTTTATCCTGAAGCGTAGCCCGCGGGCGAACTGCGGGGTTCGGCCCGTAGTTTGCGTTTAGTGTAAAAACTCAAACGTGGTTTCGGATAAGCTGGCGAAATACGCGAACCAAACGGTACGGCGGCGTTCTGCACCAAACGGGCCCTAAATTTAAAAAATACTGTTTTAAGATAGAATTTCAAAAATACATAAAAATTTACAATTTAAACCAAAAAAAATTTATTGGTTATTTTTTCCATCGCAAATCACACTGAATGTTATTGGCTCCAAAGTTGGATAACTGGCTGAGATTGTGAAGAAAATATTATGTTTGGAAAACTAGCCGGGCGGATGATAACGTGAATTATATAAGCAGGATAATAAGACCCCACGTACCGAATAAAAATTCCATGACATGATTCTAATAATGTCTTTAATTCTCCAGGACTTCTACAGCTGGCTTCATTGTGACTGTACTCTTCTTTCTTTTCTTGAGATCCTTCATGTCCCCATAGATGTAGGAAACGAACCCCCACATTGAGAGCGCGAGAGCCACTGCCTTATCTCGGGTGAACGGCTCCTTGAAGAAGATGACTGCAAGAACCACCGTCACCGGAAGGAGGACGTCAACGATGATGCCGGTGAGCAGCGCCGACGAGTAGAGAACGACACCCACTCTCCCCAAGAAAAAGCATTGCATCACTACTGCGAAAAATATGATCACCAGGTAGTAGTTGGTCTCGCCGAGTGCATATTGCTCTGCCTCTCTCGAGATGGCCTGCACTCAATAGTAAATTAACGTAAACGGGTTATTAAACAGTCATAAAAGCATGAATTCTATTAAACAGTCATAAAAGCTTACAAATACGTAATCAGTCAAATTTTAAGTATTTTAATTTGAGATAAATATTAAATAATCAAAATATTCACCATATGAAAGAATATTAGACTATATTATTATTTATAGTATTGAAGCTGCCAAGGAAAAAATGTCACACCAACAATAATAAGAAGACATTTTGGACGCGCACAGCGCACTAAATTAAAAATTAAAAATTTATTTATTGACTGGCCGGGGGATTGTGCGGAGCAAATACATTCTTAGAACTGCTTTTTAGAATTTGGCCTAAAATGGAATGAAGTTGCTGACCTAATATTGATCTCTGAAATCGCCAAGTGGAAAAGATTGATGGAATGTTATTCTCACCTGGAACTCATGATTCACCAACATTCCGACGGCGCAGAAAACCGTAGCGAAAAAACCCATGACCACCTGCGTCTCTAAAACCACCGTGTAAGTCACCGGCTGCTTCGCCTTCATGTACATGAGCTCCGACAGAGTGGGCAACAGTCCGTCGAGCACCGCCGCCCCAATTGTCATAGCAAACCCGAAGTAATACTTAGATTGGTTCACCCCTTCAGGCCTATCCCCGGCAGAATTTATGCCGAGAACCACAGCCCCAACGGTCAGCAAAACCACCGCGTTTATGGAGAACGGTGTGAATCTCTGCTTCACGATGAGGAAAGAGAAAAGCGCGGTGAAGCTGAGCTGTGTGGAGAGGAGGAGGGAGGAGGTAGAGACCGGAACGTAGGAGAGACCGTAGGCGTAGAAGAGGTTAACGAGGCCGGTGAGGAGGCCGAGGGCGGTGCATGAGAGGAGGAGATGGGGAGTTCGGAGGGAGAAAAGTTTGAATTTTTTTGAGTTGGGGATTAGGAGAGGGGGGAGGAGGAGAGGAAAGGCGGCAGTTTGGAGGAAGGTGGAAAACCATATGAGATGGCCACCGTGTAGAAAGTAGAGGCGAAGGAGGAGTGGCATGCCGCAGCAGCCAATGATGAGGAAGAAGATGTTGAGGAAGAGGAGGGGTGATTGTCTCTCTGTTTTGCTCGTCGGCGCTCCTTGCCCGTTTGAGGTATAATGCACTACCTGGGATTCAATCTCCATTGCTTATGAATCGAAAGAATTCCCTCTATCTGATGCAATAGTAAGTCTGCTTGGATTGGGACCATTGCATTGGTGTATTTATAAGACAAAAACGTTATTAAGGAAATATGTCATTAATGTTGGTTCCAATTTACTGGATCGCTAAAGGACAAATCGAAAAATGAGATTGGACTTTTGAGATTGTCATTTTTCGATTGGACAAATCGAAAAATGAGATTCGCCTTGACTTATAATCACACCAACGTATGGTATCTTGACAATGGAGCAAGCAACCACATGACAGGCCATCGAGAGAAGTTCAATGAGCTCGACGAGAAGATCACCGGAAATGTGAAGTTCGGAGACGGCTCACTCATCGAGATCAAGGGCCGAGGAACTATCCTGTTTGTGTGCAAAAACGGCGATCAACGTCTAATGACCGAGGTATATTACATTCCAAAATTAATGCTATGATCATATCTTCTATATTTGTTCCACTAATTAACTCATGCCTATTATGAAGCCACTAATTATGCAATCAATTCAAATTACCAATTCAAGATTAGTCTCACAATTAATGAAATCCGTAGAGGTTATTAGTGTTGAAAATTAAACTTCAATTAATTAGTTGGGCCTTTTAATTGAGCCCATGATATAGAAAATTCCTTAGAAAATTCAAGAGTCTCATTTTATGAAGAATATTTTTGAGGATTTTAGAGATACATTTTAAAGGAAGGATTTATAGAATTCTAGAATATGTAATTAATGACTTTTGTAATGTAAAAAAGGAGAATACTCTAGAGAGTCAATAGTAGTTATTAGATTAAAATGTGTTGGCACAATCCAAATGGAGTTGTCATTAGTATAAATAAGTGTAGTGTGTTTACATTTTGTATAAAGAAGTAAAATCAAGAAGCGTTAGAGAAATAAAAGCGAGTTTTACAAGTGTTCTTCTTTTTTTAGCATTCCTCTATTTACAATAGCCTCTTATCTTCCAACAAAGTGGTATCAGAGTCAAAGTTACTTTCTTGAGAGATGACGAGCAATAGTATGATCCCCTTTTAGGTCCTAATGTTCAACAATAGTAATTATGACAATTGGAGCATCTAGATGAAGGCCCTTCTTAGAGTGTAAGATGTATGAGAAATTGTAGAAAATTGCTACAATGAGCCACAAGGCGATTCAAGTCTATCTCAAAATCAAATGGATAGTTTAAGAGATTCGAAAGAGAGATAAGAAGGCTCTCTATCTAATATTTCAGGGATTAGATGGGAGAAAGAGACATGGGAGAAGCTTCAAACCACTTATAAAGGGACAGAGCAAGTGAAGAAGGTGTGTCTCGAAACATTAAGAGGTAAGTTTGAAGCCTTACATATGAGGTAGAAGCCATCTCTAACTACTTTACTAGAGGCTGAGTAGTTTCTAATCAATTAAAAAGAAGGGGAAAGAAGCTAGAGAATGTAAGGAATATGGAGAAAATTCTTTGATCTTTAGATTCAAAGTTTGATCATATCGCCGCCATCATTGAAGAAACTAGAGACTTAGAGGCTGTGACAATAAAACCACTCTTGGGTTCTTTACAAGCCTATGAAGAAAAGATAAAGAGGAATTAAGAGATCATGGAACAACTTCTGAAGACACAAATTAATTCAACTAAAGATGAGAGCCTCGAGTATGATAGAATTCAACAAGGAAGAGGTTGTGGTTAAGGACAAGACATTGGTCATGGACATGAACAAAGTAGAAGCTCCAATAATAACAACAACAACAACACCAATCTCGAACGAGGTGGAAGTCCAACAAGAGGGCATGGAGGTGGAAGTTCAAAATCAAGGTATGACAAATCACAAGTGATGTGTTACAACTGTCCAATATCTGGTCACTACACTACAAAATGTAGAACTCTCAATAACAATAAAATTGAAGAGAAGGCTAATTATGCGGAAGAGAAAAGTCAGCAAGATGACACTTTGCTACTAACATATAAAGGGAATGAAAAAGGTGAAGATAGCACATGGTATTAAGATACTGGTTCAAGCAATCATATGTGTGGAAGAAATAGCATGTTAGTGGTGCTTGATGAGTCTGTGAGTGACAATGTATCCTTTGGAGATGAGTCCAATATAACTGTGAAGGGCAAAAATAAAATCTTTATCTGATTGAAGAATAGAAAGCATAAATTTATTTCTAACGTCTATTATGTGACAAATATGAATAGTAATATTCTAAGTCTGGGTTAGCTCTTAGAGAATGATTATGATATTCATTTGAAATATAAGAACTTTTCTATAAAAGATAATATGAGCAATCTAATTCCATATAATCCAATGTTAAGAAATTGAATGTTCTTTCTCAATATCCAAAATGATATTGCCATGTGTCTCAATGCCGACTACAAAGATTTATCTTGGCTCTGGCATTTTTGATTGGGGCATCTTGTCTTCGAAAGACTGGAGCTATTATCAAAGAAGGAAATAGTGAGAGGTTTTTCATGCATTAATCACCCATACCAGATATATGAAGGTCGCTTGCTCAGGAAGAAATTCAGGAAGAGCTTTCCAAAGGAGTCAGATTCGAGAGCGCAAAAGCAACTTGAGCTCATACATATGGATGTATGTGGTCCAATCAAGCCAAGGTCTCTCGATAAAAATAATTACTTTGTTCTCTTCATAGATGATTTTTCAAGAAAAATTTGGGTATATTTTATGAAACAAAAATTGAAGGTCTTTGGAGCATTCAAGAAGTTCAAAGCGTTGGTGGAGAAATAAAGTGGCTTGGAGATCAAATCCATACAATCTGATCTGAGAGGCGAGTTCACTTCAAAGGAATTTCAAGAATGTTGTGAAGCAAACAGTTTTCCTTTTTTTCTCTTTTTTATTTTTCAAGGAGTCACTAGTTTTTCTATGATCTATATTTCCCTTTTTTGAATAAGTCATTCTTTTGAACCATATGAATGATCAGAAGAAGAGATGAACCATAAAATATGAAATACACCAAAGGCAAAAAATAAAAGAAAGAACATAGAGAACCTCCGTGATGCAAACCTCTCAAGGATAGGTCAAGCATATACGTCCGAACAAGATAGGATTTAAATATCTTGTGTCAAATATCTTCTAAAGAATGTCTACGAAAGCTACCCACAAGCAGAGATTCGAGTGTGTTTGTCTGTTTTAAGGTTTAGAGTGCTCCTAATGGGATGTATCACATTTAGTTAATTACATCTTGGGATTGCCTAAGAATATCTTGATCTAAGGAGCTTTGTTTACAATAGAAGTGAAAACTATCACAGCGTTATCAAAAGGTAGTTATTTTGTAGGGGAATGTTCTAATGCTTTTAAAGCTCCCATTAAGCCACGGAGCGAAGAGTGATTGTCTCACGGTCCCACAAGGGAAACAGATTCATCAGCACAGAGACTACGAAACAACTGAATCATCTTAATCAATAATCTCGATACGCCAAAGCACTTTCAAGCCATAATAACAGAAACAAATCATCATATCTCAAATGGGTGGCAGTTCATTCGTTATCAAACCATCAAGATAATATCAATGATAGGAAGAGGAGCAACAGGGCTCAAAGTAGGTAGTCAAAGGAAGGGAGGAGTGATCCCTGACATGTAGAGGAAGCTAGATCGGGGCACCACAGACCTGTCATCCTAAGCTACCAGGACCCTAAGTCAACTTGGTCATGAAGGTAGTTGACCCAACATATCGAGAGATCCCTGGTTAGCAATCCATAAATTGTGTCATTTGCGAGAATTTCGTTAGCCCTAAGGTCAAAGGAACGAAACTCTATCATATAACTATCAGGTGAAGCTCTAAGAGATAGAGCTTATACCTGCCTTAAGTGGTGAGGATGTTGTTGGAAAGAGGAGAAAGAAGATGTTCGGTTATGAAGCTGGAAACACTCTCATTAAAAGGACTTACACCACTTCTGGGTCGAGGAGTCTTCTAATGATGTAAGCACGCTAGTCAACCATCTAAGGAGAAAATCTATGTTAGGTCAGTCAGGTTAGAGAAACATTGGAGCTTCTCCTCGAGACATGCAAATGGTGTACTTATCTAGAGCGATCCTTAGATATTTTGGAGGCCTTATTATATGACTTGGGTGATAGTCATACAAACAACACATTTTAAAATCGGCCTGAAAGTCAAGCAGTAAAGTTCAAGCAGGTTTTAAAAGTTCAGAATCTTTTAATCCTAAATTTTAATTAATATTGAAATTTTTATTAGGATTTTTTTAGAAAATGTTTTTATAAATTTTAGGTGATAGAGAACCTAAGTGACAACACTGGATACTCAGACAATATCACAATCCAAAAAAGGAGAAAACTATCCAAGTATACAAACATGCAAGGAAAATAGAAAAACAAGTCAAATATAAAATAATAAATGGTTAGTGACGCTGGGTCGACAACATATCTCAGAAAAGAAAATGACGGTCATGCTACAACATTATTTAGGTGTCATGCATCTAAAAAAATGATAATTTCATTAGGACTTTATCTAACCTTAATATTTCCAAAGATGATCTACATGCAGGACAAGATTTAGCTAACATTGGAGTGAGTATTTATTTGCATCCTCTTGTTAATGAGAATGGTTGTATGTTTTCCCGCTAACAATGTTGAAACTATCAAAGAAGCAAAAAATTGATGTTTTGTGAACTCCTTGAGAAAATGTAAGTCCTCAAAGGCCATGCGTCAAACATCTCCAGAGTTGTAAACATCAATGAATGTAAATTAACAAATTTAAAAAGTCATGGTTGTCACGTTCTTATTGAAGATATTCTTTCAATAGCATTGAGGTGTTTCGCACCTTCAGTGAAAATAATGATCATTATAGTAGAAATACCAAGATTTTTAAAAACAATCTGCACTAAGATCTTTAATCCAAGTGAATTCGAAAAGTTACATAATAACATTATATTGACTTTATGCTAAATGAAGAAATTTTTCATGCCCTCTTTTTTAAAAAATTATGGTTGATCTACTTGTTCATTTAGTTGAAGAAGTAAAACTTGGTGGCCAT